TTTCTCATTCTTCAAAACAGATCGAGGTAGGTGCGAAATAAACCACCTAGCCAATAGTGGAGTGCAACACATAAGGGTCCCTCTTCTCTTTATGATGCGAGTGTGAAAAGAGTGCAAAATGTCTCCAATTAAAGTAGGCACCGGGTTACGAGACATAAAAACTTTGACCGCATTCACGTCTATGAGTTGGTCCGAATTAGGGAACAATATCATCCCATAGATGAGAAGGGCCAACACCACTTCAAAGGCTTGTAATTCTAAATTATCCCACAAATAGTGAGCTTTCTCAAACAAAAACTTGGCCAGAAACTCTTTGACACCGCTTCTCGTTTCCCAATTTTCCACAACGTTAGACCGTTGTAAATATAGGGCTTGGGCGATCTCCTCAGGCTATGGGTCTCTTTCCATACCATTGAAGGGTAATTGATTGAGAATAGGCACTCCCAATAATTGAGAAAACTCTTCCATGGTAGGCACCAACTGGTAATCAAGAAATGTAAAGCAATGATGTAAAGGGTCAAAGAATTGAAAGAGAACTTTCACCATGTCTTCATCAGGGCTTGAGATGACCAAATTGAGGAGTCGAACATGTCTTTTGGTGAATGGAGAATTATCAGGAACCCTTGATGCCAACTCTTTGAGTTGAGGAGGCACCCTTACGAGGTTGACTTGGATAGTATTTCTGCGAGTGAGAGCCATGTCCTACAAAACAGATACAAAGATAAGTCCTAAAATTCCTTGAAATGGTTAGTGTGACATGCCATGTTATGATGTTATGTACAAAAAAAATATATACAAGCACACAAATAGATCCTTAGGTTTAGGCTTGCATGGATTCCATAGGTAAGTACCCTATTGTAGTATAGTTGTTTCAACTTGTCATAGAAAGTAACCGGGTTCTAAGGAATCTCAATATCACTGATCTTTCTTCACCAGGCATTGTTTCAGTGCGAGCCTCTTTATCGGCGACCGAAATATCCTGGAAGTCTGATCTTAATGAGCGTAGTATCGAGTATCAACCAACTTTGGACTGCACCAAAGTCGGCTATCTCACTACTTCCTAATGGCCAAGTTGTTCAATTAAAGTTTCTAAGGTCAGTTGGTGCTTCATGACACCACACAACGGTCCATATTCTCCTTGACTACTCAAGGGCTACCGGTACCAACAAATGTGTCACACCAATGTAGCTATCGTTTCAATTGTGTCGGTATACCCCGCACACTCCCCATGATCTATTGCTAATTACCTAAAAGGTGCCCCGGATCCGGGTGTAGGATCTTTACAAGTAAACCCAAACAAACCCTTAAAGATAAAGCAAATAAAACACACAATGTAAAGCAAAATTAAGAATGAACTAAACTCTAAGGTAAACCCACTTTTTATTTTTCCCCAGCAGAGTCGCCAGTTCTGTGATACGGTGGCATAACCGACTTTTATACTGGTTTTGCATTTGCATTTGCAAATGTTGCGGTAAACAAGAGTCGCCATTAATTTTCTTTTATCCATCAAAGGAAAGGGTGAAAAGAACAGAAAAAGACATTTTGAGAGTTTTCTGAGTAAGGGGGGTAGATTATGGAAAGGGAAGGTGTTATCACCCTTTCCATCCGTAGTTATCTACGGGCTCTTAGATGCTTAGCTCATTTTGAAATACCTTGTGCTTTGTATGTTTTTGAAAAGTATTTTTGAAAGTGCCTTAGTGTGGCGATTTGCTTTATGATAACTCTTGTATCAGTCCTCAAGAGTGTTGATAAAGCATTTGAATTTTTTTTTTTGAAAGTTGTTTTGTGTAAGTGTAAAAATTTGTTTTTGAGCAAGCTTCTAACATCTATCTACTTTTACTCGACAGGGTCATTCTTTTCCTCTTTTCCTTTAGACAGTGCTATCCTACTATTAGTGAGTAGGTAGCCCTCTCGTTGGATGTTTGAGGGACATTCGAAGGGACGTTTATAGTCACAAAAGAAACAGGGCAAGAAACCTTAGTAACTACCCTAGAGTTTTAAGATCACTTTATCGAGGCAACGTCGAAAGGGTCATTGAGGGACTTGTGATCTTTAAACTGAAGGGTAGCCATTAAAATCTCTCACGTTTCGAGAGTTGTGACTATTTTCCGAAGGCATCCAAAGTGGGAGTATCCTAAAGGTGTGCATGTGCAATTGTATTGTGTTTCAATTAATTATCTTGATGTTAGGTTTTGCTAATGTTTTATTTTGATCTCTTGCCATACAATCCTATTAGCATACATCTAAACCGTTAATATATGTACAGGAAATATAAAGTGCGGAAATTAAATCCTACACTATTACATCCTGTGGGAAGTTACATAATAGAAAAATACGGAAAAATAAACAAAACTATTACAAAATTTCCCATGCAACCTATACATTGTTTCTAGAATTTAAATTACAAATAAATAGAAAAATGATAAGAAAAATATAAAAATGTCCTGAAACCTTAAGTATTAAGAAAAATGATTTTTTTTTGGTATTTTTGAGAAATAGAACTAAAATTGATTAGAATCTTAAGTCTATTGATTTTAAATTAAACAAAATATTAAAGTAATTAATAAATTTATTTACAAAATTAGCTTAATTAATAAAAATACTAACCTAATGTTTTTTTGTGATTTCATTTTATTTTTATAATTAAATAAAGAAAATATATTTTTGAAGTTAACAAACTAAAAAAGAATGAATAAAAAGGGATAAGTGGGCCTGGTACTGATTAGTAAACAGGGGGTATGATCTAAAAACGTTGGGCCCAAACAAACCAGGACCAAAGAGCTGTGTTGGATCTTGTGAGGCTGGCCCCTCAAGGGTTCATCATGGGAGAGTGCTTCTGGAGCGCTGGATCTGGATCCATAATGATCTGGTTGCTGAGAATGAGGATACATGGTAGGCATGCTACCCTAGATCTGAAAAGAAAGAATGAGAAAAACGCAAAAAAACATGGGGATCAAACCCAGGCTCTCCAAGATTTACGCACGCATCCTTCACCACTGGGTCATCTATTCATACATTAGTACAGACAACCAGAAAACAATATATTCGAAGCATCACAAAATACTGAAGGGTTAAAATCATGGCATTGATTTGGGCTGAAGGTGTTTGTGCAGGTGAAACAACCGGCTGAAAATCATTAAACAATGAAGTCGCCATCGAACGTCTTTTATCCCACATGTAGGGAAAGGTAAACATCGAGAAAACCTGAGGAGGGAGAAGTCACGGTCTTGCGACCGAGAGATCGGGTAAGGGAGTCTGTTATGCGAGGGGAAGGTATTAGCACCCCACACGCCCGTAGTACTCTACGGTATCCACTCTTGTTATCTATCTTATGGGTGTGTTTAATCTATGCTTATTGTCTACTATACTACTGGAAAATGCATGCAAAAGAAAAGAGAAAAGAATGTAGGGAAAATAAAATTGTGCTCGCCTGGGCCCTACCCCAATGCCTACGTATCCTTTTTAAGGAATCAGAGCTACCGTAGTTCGGCTCATATGTTTTTGTTTGTTTGTGTTTTTTGTGTGGACGAAGTTAATTCCGCCTTCTGCCGCAGCTCGACCTTTGGAGACTTATGCGTTGGCACAGAAGTAAATTAATCGTGTCCTTACCTGAAAAGGGTTTTTTAATGAAAGGTGCTCGAGCGCACAAAAGATTTGATTTTGTTTTGTATTTTGTTACAGATGTTTTTTGTGGACGAACTTAATTCCGCCTTCTGCCGCAGCTCGAACTTTGGAGACTTATGCGTTGGCACAGAAGTAAATTAATCGTGTCCTTACCTGAAAAGGGTTTTTTAATGAAAGGTGCTCGAGCGCATAAAATATTTGATTTTGTTTTGTATTTTGTTGTAGATGATGACTGATTGGCCTCAAGAGAGAGATATTAGTCATTTTTCTACTTAGCTATGAAAGGAATCTTTGAGAATTGAACCACACCTATGCTTGAGATGAAGAACAATAAGATCGAGAAGAGACCCGCTTATCATTTCTCGTACTAAGCAAAAGCATGATTCTCATCAATAGTTTTAAAGTGTTTTGAATTTTGAAAAAAAAGAAGTTTTAGTTTTAGGTGCGAATGCAAAAGGGAAAGAAAAGTTAAAGGGGAATTAGCCTATTTTCTAAACCTAATGTTATTGTGTGTTAGTAGCCATAAGATTTAGGTTAAAGGGGAAATTTCTACCTGATGTTAGTATGCATGAATTTGAAAGCCTAATGTCTAATTTTAGTTCCATTAAATCGAAGATTAAATTTGAACCAAAATCTCCTAAAGAATCATGAAATAATATACAAATAAGTAAAATTAGGTAGCAAGTATCAAAATATCGCATACAATCCATACCAAAAATCGCAAGTGAACTACATGATATAAAAATGAGTAAAACTAATGATTAAAATTGAAAAGAAAAAAAGTGAGAGAATTGAAAAGAAATCTCTTTTATTTACCAATATTTCCAAAGAAAATAAATCGCCAAAATTAATCGCAATCGAAATGAGTATGGGAAATAAGATCTCAGGAGGTGCGAACTGGATTCAATGTGTGCTGCAAAAAATAGAATGACATTAGGCCCATCAAGATAAACCCAAAAGAAAATGTTTTTTTATAGTAAATAAACCAAAGAGCAACCAGAAAAAAAATGTTGGGCCCAGGAATCGATTGGTTTGGTCCATTCCATCACTAATTCCTCTTACAACAAAAACTCATATTTTTTGTATTATTTCAGCATATTATTATTATTAAATAAAAAATATAAGATAATAAAACAATTATATGATTTCAGCATATTATTATTATTAAATAAAAAATATAAGATAATAAAACAATTATATAAAATGAAAAAAGTATATGAAATTGGAAAGGGGTTAGGGTTAAAAAATGTTTCGTCCTCCTTCTCCTCTCGCGAACAGCAGCGGCGCCGCCGACCTTCTTCCGTTGTCTTCTTCTTCGCTCCGGCGATTTCCGCCGCTCACCACCGTCAATTCAACGTCAAGCTTAGCGACATTCTTCATCGCTTCGACCATTTCTTCGTAGCGTTCCGCTTGTTCGGCGAGCTTGGCGGTGTAGACGAAGGTTTCTTTGGAGGATGCCATGGCGGATCTGGGAGGTTAGGATAAACCGCAATATCGCGAAAGAAAATCAGGGAAGCACGGTATTGGATCCCTCCAGGTATACGAGTTCTTATACCTTTATATCTCCTTTCTTCCTCTTCTTTCTGAGTTTCAGATTTCTTATTGTTGCTGAGGTGTGATGTTGATGAAGCTGTGAAGCAGATTGTTGAAGTGTTATTGTTGTGATGTTGCAGTTGAAGAAGGTTGCTGCAAGTTGACACAGAGATGCAGATGATGAAGATTGAAGCAAGTTGATGCAGTAGCGGTTATACAAATTGTTGCGTGAGGATGAAGTTCAGTGGAGAATTGAAGGTGATTGCAGAGAGATGAGAGATTTTCCTGAGAAATTTTTTATGGTGATTCTTCTGAAGTGATGAAGTAATGAAGAGATTGCAGGTAAGAGTCGGTTTTTATATTCTGTTAGATGCTGAGAAAGTTTGTTATAGTTGAATTGAATCTGAACTGTTGAATTGAATGAGTTAGTTATGGAATAGATGGTGAGATTTGAATCTAAGTTCTCTTTTTATTTTTTCTGTTATGAACTGAGCTGTTAAATTCTGTTTTTTATTGTTAGAGATTCTGTTAGTTGGTTATAGAAAATAGTTACGGGAAGTTGGTTGGGGAATCATGACTTTGGTTGGGAAGCTGAGATGCAGTTAAGAATTTGTTACTAGTTAAGTTAGTTTGGATCTGGTTAGAAAGTTAAGAAAAGTTGTTAGGTTATAGTTATAGAGGTTGGGATTACTGAGATATGGTTTTGGATATTTGTTAGTTATGCTGTAACTATTCTGTTTTGCAGTTAGTTGGTGAATCTGTTAGTTTTTTCTATTAGGACAGTTAGAGATTAGAAAGGAGGTTAGCAGGGTGGTTAACAGAAATTCTGTTTTGGAAGTTAAGATGCAGTTTTTTGTTATATCAGTTTTGGTTGTTGTTAGTTATAAATTATGGTGCATTCAAACAAATCCATCAGATAGACCACCGATGAATAAAGTGATAGAAATGCTACATGGACCACTTTCATCAGTGCAATATCCTCCAAAGTCGGTCTTGTTTTCTCCTGAAATGCCATTTGTCACTAACTAACATTGGAGCAAATGGCTTTGATTCTTTTGGTTGCTCAACTGGAATTGGAGGGTAACTCACACTTTGAACTTGGAATTTGATCTTGTCAGTATAATTAATATTAAATGATGAATCAATTTCTTCACCATAATCCCAAAACCACGTGCCTTTGTTTTTGTTGCTATTTTCAGGTTCATAGCGGTTTGGATTGGGCATGTGATGAGTAGGAATGTAAATGTCGTCAAAGAATCCAATGGATAAGCGTAAGCCATCAGCATCAGATGAAACAAGTTTTCCAGTAATAATCTCCCCTTATCCAAGAAAAGCCTCTCAAGCTCCGTGTGTATGGCTTCTCCAATGGGAAGAGCGAGAAGAGAAGGAGGCAAGGTCAATTTATGCTCAATCTTACTGAGATAAAACATTGACGCTATACCCTGTTAGGAAGTGCTATCCAGAAGAAACAGCTCTTTATGGAATTGACGGTGAAAATTAGGATAGGTTTTGGTAAAAATGTATAGATGTTATGTATCATTGTAATGGAATTTGGACTTGTATGTATTTGAATAATTGTAATGTATGTTGACTTTATTTCCACATAATGAAATGGCCTTTGTATGAATTCAAATAAATGGTATGAATCCAAAATATTTGCAAGGTAACCAAAAGAGACATGAATCTTGAATGAATCCAAGAGAAGCTATTTGGATAATATTTTGATGGTTGGATGAATTTGATGCATGCTTTTTCATACTTGTGGTTTGAATTCCAAGAAAAGCCACGCAAATATTTAAGAACTTTGATTTTCTCCAAATCCACTTCAATTATTAATGAATGAATCTTAATCAAACTACAGCTTCAGTGAATCCCTAATTCAATTCAATTCCTCAGTATAAACCAAACTCGTGTGTTAAGCAATAAGCATTTGAAATAATGACACCTTGATCATAATCAACATCTTGTACCATGTCCCGACTATATGAACACTAGAACAACGACGTCTTGGACCCTTTCTCAACAGATGATAATGACTATGCCCTGAGGGATTCCTTGCAGATGAATATGAAAGATGAGACATGCGAATACCCTGATATGGACTGAACCTCAGGTAGAATGCTGGCAAGCTCAAGTATGAAAATGTATAAACCCTGATTTTTAGCTTCGTCTCATAAAACCTTGCAACTTGACATTGAGAAGAAAGAATAGCCTCGTAGCTTGATGATGATAAGGTCCATGAAATGAAAACCTAGCTCCAAACAAATTATTAATGGAGAAATCAACCGAAACAAGCTTGTGCGAAGATGAGAGCCTTAAAGCCATACACCAACCCTTATTCCTCAAAATCCATGATCTTATGCCAATTTATCGATTAATGATGCATGATGTGTTAGATGACCTAATGTGAGAAAAATGCAAAAATGCGTAAGCCAGATAGAAAGTAGAAGGGTAGGACAAATTTGGGGTATTACAGCTGCCCCTATTTAATCGTCTTAAACTTGAAAGTACGATTGGCACATGCCTTTCGGAAGTTCAAGGTTGAAGATGATTAAATATCAATGCCAAAAATTTGTCCTGAGGGAGAAAGAGTGTTTTATTTATTTATTTATTTTGTGTTATCTGCTGGGTAAAAGAAATTTGTTTTTTTTTTCAATGAAGAGACAGGGATTGGACTTGTAACGTAGCTTGATGCCAATGCAAGACAAATGGTTATGAAAAGACAGCGGATGAGGTCTACGGGCGACCTACGATCCTAAGGTGACACATGAGAGTGATATGACAGAGAACCTAGCCAAAGGGCAATCTCAGGTTCTAAGACAAAGTGCATGGAAAGAACCTAGCCAAGAGGCGATCTCAGGTTCGACGATGATTTGAAGGAAGAACCTAGCCAAGAGGTGATCTCAGGTTCGACGATGATTTGTAGGAAGAACCTAGCCAAGAGGCAATCTCAGGTTCGACGGTGATTTGAGGGAAGAACCTAGCCAAGAGGCGATCTCAGGTTCGACGGTGATTTGAAGGAAGAACCTAGCCAAGAGGCGATCGCAGGTTCGACGATGATTTGAAGGAAGAACCTAGCCAAGAGGCGATCTCAGGTTCGGCGATGATTTGAAGGAAGAACCTAGCCAAGAGGCGATCTCAGGTTCGACGGTGATTTGAGGGAAGAACCTAGCCAAGAGGCGATCTCAGGTTCGACGGTGATTTGAAGGAAGAACCTAGCAAAGAGGCGATCTCAGGTTCGACGATGATTTGAAGGAAGAACCTAGCCAAGAGGCGATCTCAGGTTCGACGATGATTTGAAGGAAGAACCTAGCCAAAAGGTGATCTCAGGTTCGACGATGATTTGAAGGAAGAACCTAGACAAGAGGCGATCTCAGGTTCGACGATGATTTGAAGGAAGAACCTATCCAAGAGGTGATCTCAGGTTCGACAAAGATTTGAAGGAAGAACCTAGCCAAGAGGCGATCTCAGGTTCGACAAAGGTTTGAGGGAAGAACCTAGCCAAGAGGAAATCTCAGGTTCGACGAAGGGAACATGGGTTATGACATGATGATTGTTTTAGATAAGCGACACGGACGAGCATCAAGAAAGTTTAAACACGGACGAGTGTTTGAATAACTGACCCGGGTGGGTGTTTAGGAAACTTGACACATACGAGTGCTTAGGAATGGATACTGACGAGTGTTTAGGGAACCGACTACCAGACAAGAACTAGGTTTAGAACGGCAAAGTGTATTGATTTTGTTTGGCATTGAAAAGGTGAAGGTCACCGACTGGGAACTTTGAGCATGATACCCTCCTGTAGGGATGTATTGTTGTCCTTGAATAATTCAGGTCTTTCGTGTAAGGTACCTGGTCTGGCTTATGCTTTGTATGCATGTTTGAATTTCTTTTGACGCAAAGATCCACTCTGATGGATCTGCTACACGCTTTTGAGGATGCAATGTTATGTAATGATAACTATATGCAATGCGAAGAAATAAACTTCATGGGGATAAAAAGAGGCCTATTGGAGACCGCTGCTCATCACTGGGGATGTCAGTATACAGATGTTGGAAGCCTGCAGCACCAAAGATCACTGGAGATACTGATAAGAATACACACTGGGGAGCTCTTGAAGACCAAAGATCGTTGTTGACTCTGCTGAGGATTGAATTGCTGACGAAATGAGTTTTTAGGTACACTGCTGGATTCTGAATCGTACCGTTGAAGGAAGAGATAATCTGACCAAACCTTCATACATCTTGAATTGTTAAGGGGGTGATAGAAGTGAATATGCCGAAGAATGGATACTGAACACCATGTGGATCCCTTCGGATACATGCTCCAAGTTTACACACACTGGGGAATTGCCTCTTGAATCACCTGGGGATAAGAGATGAGTGTGGACACCTATGAGTGCCCCGGTTAGACTCTGCGACTGCCCCGGTTTAGCTTTGCGAATGCCCCGGTTTGGTTCTGCAGATGCTCCGGTTTAGCCTTACTGGGGATGCTCTGGTTTAGCTTTATTGGGGATGCTCTTGATTAACTCCACTAAGGATGCCCTTGCACGTGCCGAGTCAAAAGACGATTCTAAACTTTCTGAATTCACTTGGGGAATCGGACCTGAAGTTGTTTGTAGTAGATGGATGCAGTTTCACGTGCTGGCTGGGTTAGGGTGACTATCACAAATTGTTACCTGCAAGGAAAAACAACATTCAGAGTGCATATGACATCCCCACATGGTTATACATTGACGTGAAGTCACGTTTTACCTTGGCTTGAGAATTTTTATTCCCCATGTTTCTAACGCCATGTTTAATTATCAAATAAAACATATTTTGCATACAAAACATTTCATGATAATAGGAGGCAACTTTGATGAAAACAGATTTTATTGATTGGCCTGTGAATAGGCATTCGTACAAGGAAGCAACTCCTATATGAGGTAGCTGCAAAATAGAAACGAAAAAAGTACAACAGGCGTAAATGGCAATGAGAGATGCTCAAATTTCCATTAAAATCGGTATTGCTACAGTTCCCATATCCTAAGTTGTCTCAATGCCTTGCCTCCGAAGAGTAGTAGTTGGATCGGTCAATTCGCTGCCAAGGTGCTATAGATGCGCACGTGTCATTTGTAAAGAGCATTCAGACTGCAGCCTCTCGCTTAAAATCCCTAATTTTTGCTTGGATCGCCCTTTCAGGTTTTCGACCCAACGGGATACCCATTTTTGCCTAAGTCGCCCTTTCGGGTTTTCGACCTAGCAGGTTGTTTTTTTTTCATTTTATCCCTAACTTTTGCCTGGACTTTTGTGCCCACCGGGATGCCCGTTTTTTTGCCTAAGTCGCCCTTTCGGGTTTTCGACCTAGCGGGTCTTTTTATGCGTAGAATTTTTTGACTGAGTCTGAATTGACTGGGAGCGGAACGTCTCCCCCATCCATATCTGTCAGGATTAAGGCACCTCCTGAAAAAGCTCTCTTCACGATGTATGGTCCCTCGTAATTGGGAGTCCATTTGCCCCTTGGATCGGAATGGCTTTGTATGATGACCCTTCTTAGGACCAGATCACCAGGATAAAACTTTCGAGGACGAATCTTTTTGTCAAATGCTCTTTTCATTCTTTGTTGGTACAATTGGCCATGACAGATGGCTACCAGCCGCTTTTCATCAATCAGATTGAGTTGGTCGTACCTCGTCTGAACCCACTATGCCTCATCAAGCTTGGTCTCCATCAGCACTCTTAACGAAGGAATTTCTACTTCGACAGGGAGCACAACATCAGTGCCGTAGACAAGTGAAAATGGGGTTGCCCCTGTCGAAGTGCGCACAGATGTCCTGTAGCCATGTAGAGCAAAAGGCAACATTTCATGCCAATCTTTATATGTTCTGACCATCTTCTGGACGATCTTCTTTATATTTTTATTAGCAGCTTCAACTGCACCATTCATTTTTGGTCGATAAGGTGATGAATTGTGATGTTCGATCTTGAATTCTCCACACAATTCTTTCATCATGTTGTTGTTCAGATTAGAACCATTATCAGTGATGATTCTATGAGGGACTCCGTAACGGCATATGATTTCCTTCCTGATGAAATTGGTGACGACCTGTTTGGTTACATTCTTGTAAGAAGCTACTTCTACCCATTTGGTGAAATAGTCGATAGCCACTAGGATGAATCTATGACCGTTCGAAGCACTTGGTTCAATCCTTCCAATCATATCAATTCCCCACATTGCGAATGGCCACGGGGAGGTCATAACATTCAGCGGGGTTGGAGGAACATGAATTCTGTCTGCATATACTTGGCATTTGTGGCATGATTTCGCGTATACACAACAGTCGCTCTCCATCGTCGTCCAGAAGTATCCTGCTCGTAGGATTTTCTTTGCCATAGAATGCCCGCTTGAATGAGTCCCGAAAGAACCCTCATGGATTTCCTTTATGATC